CACTGCAGTCCAATGGAAATTTGATAGGAATCAAAGTTCACATTTAGCACTTAATATTTTAAACTTGCACAGTAGGGATGAATAGCAGTAGTAATGCATGACATCTAACTCCATTTCCAAATGCTCACACACATGATTTGGTATCTAATGTTCTTAATTCCTTCACGTGGAAATTACATTACAGAATATTCAAGTTTATTTTGTATTATAAGATGTCAGACATCTGATCAAATCCCTAACAATGGAGATGCTGAATTACTGAAATATTAACCAAGCATGTTATGCACCTATGCAAAAGTTCAGCATTTTGCAATGCTACTTATTTTAGCTTTTATTGGAGGATTTTTTTTCATACCTAGTACACCAAGTAAACAAGAAGTGGTCTATGTGTCCACGAAAAATCATGGTATACTAAACCTATTAGTCTTGAAAATGCTGCATGCATTTTCATTACTTTACTGCAACAACCTAACACAGCTATCCTGCAGGAACATCTTAAACTAATGCTGTGCAGACTTTCTCCTCCCTTCTGTTTTCTGACTAACAAGAACCCTATGCATTTCTCTCAAGTTGGATTCAAGTCCAGGAAACTGTAGGATTTCTTTTAAAAATAAAACAAAACATGGGATCACCCATTCAGTACTTTTAAGTGTAAACTGAAATGAGCACAGCACATAGTAGAGCTCCATCCAATCTGGGTGCCCATATATGTTTATCCACAAGTAAGTTCCATTCAGCTTTATATAACTTGACTTTTGAGTAGAATCTACTCAGTAAATAGACAAGATTGCACTGTTGAGTCAACAATCTCTTCCTATACTCTATCTGTGATTAAATACAGACTTCATGACTACACTGAACTAGCTCACCCCCTGCCCATCCTTGACTGCTGTTTGCCTAATATCCAGCTTCATAAAGTATCTAGGAAATCTCAAAATATGCCTCACTATTTTGTGCCACTCCAATCATCATGTTACCAAATTGCAGATTTTTCAAAAATTTTCTTATGAATTAATAGTGTTTCCATTGCTTTTTGTATGCCTTTTTACACAGCAATTGGGCCTTTTCACACTGAGCAAGGCTGATCTAAAACATTTTGTTGCCTAAACCAAGGGCCTTCCATCCCATTATTATACACAATCTAATGGTAGCTTCAGCACTCGTGATGGAACAGCATTCTCCACATCTGATTAGTAAAGCCTCAGTCAAACGAGGGAAATGTTCCCCTTTTCCCACAATACTGTCCATATCTTTGCTGCACTGAATCACAGTCATGTGGTATATATACCTGGACGAACATCCCAATGTGTTTTAAACTTACTGATTATTTTTCTCCTATTTGAATCATTATGGCTTGGCTACACTGTGGGGCCGATTTATTTTTTCTCTCATTTTGGGGGGCACTGCAGGCCCTTCATTATTTTTTTCAAATTATGATATGTTGATGGTTAAGGTAGGGGTTCTTGTTTGGTAAATTTCATCTGTTGTGCTGGCACTTCTGGAAGAACTGCATCACATTCAATGGACCCAGTACCCCCATCTAAGGGTGTGTTGCTTGCCAAACAGTAGGTTGACTGATGCAACACCTACCAGTGCTCTGGCATACCTTGTTGTTGATGTAAGTTTACCTAAATATCAACATATTGGTCACAATTTTTTTTAAAAAAAATTATAGCAGGTCAGCCGCCTCCTTTGATGACTTGGCTTCAGAAAAGAATCAATAGAGTTGTGAACACATGCCATACTGTTGAGGAATATATCTAAACACCATAGGAACAAAGTAACAGAAGTCTTCCACCAAGAGGGAAATAAACCATAGTTACACTACTGGCTGTGTAATTCAATAACGGCTGTGCATCGTGTGACCACAAATGTCTACAAGAATCTAAAAGGGGTATTACTGGGGAACATTTGCCTCATGTAAGCATGCCTTAAGGAGAGCAAGCTACTTTAGGGAGTGCAGGTCAGGGCATATGCCACATGCAGATAGAGCCCTCACCTCCAATTCCTTGTTTGCAGTTATGTACTCTGCCAACTTTGCCACTGGAGGTGGTTGCCTTTCCCTTCTGGTAGGGCCAATCACATGACCACTCACTTATTAAACTTAGGAGTGGTTTTCAGAAAGAATTAGAAACCCAGCTGCTCGTGCCAACTTTCTCTTTCTCCTCATTCCACCTGCCCGTGAATGACTTTCAGCTTTTGTCAATAAGAAATACCTTTCAGACTTGGTTACATTAACTGGAGTAGAGAAAGAACTGGCAAAAGTCCAAAGTGTTGCCATCAACAGCACACTGACATGTCCAATTTTCTGGAGGCTGATTGTTAGACAGAACAGGAAGTTTGGTATGGATTCTTATTAACTGATGTGCATGTATATGGAGTTACACATCTGCAAAATATTTGCACCGAAAGGTAGTATTAAATATTGACCTACCTTTCGTTGTTCCTTCTTGGTCATTCATTTGAACTGACATGTATATGGAGTGGTTCTGCTAAACTGAATTTTGTATTTTTAACATTCACTCAAACACGGCTCAGTTAATGTATTAGCGATGTTCCAGTGAATATGCTCGGAGGGTCATCATTAGGCCAAAGAGAGCCTGATAATGAGATATGGGAAATACTGTATTTTTCCATGTATAAAATGACACTTTTTTCCTTAAATAATTAGATAAAAAAATTGAGGTTTGTTTTATACATGGAAGGCAGCCGCTTTCCCTGCCTTTTGCAAAGCCATGGGGCTTAGCAAAAAGGAAGGGAAGGCTCCCTTCAGGTAAAGTTTTACCCACTCCCTAAGCCCTGCTGAGCTTAGGAAAGCAGCCATGAAAGGGCTTCAGGATCAAAGGGCTGTGATTGTGCAGACCTTTCATTGCTGCTTTACCTGAAGGGAGCCATCCCTCTTTTTTTGCTAAGCCCCGGGGCTTCACGAAAGGCAAGGAAAAAAGGCAGTCACTTTGACAAGCCACTTTGAAGCCATGGGGCTTAGCAAAAGGCAAGGAAAAGTGGCTGTCAAAGTGACCAGCATTTTTCCTTGCCTTTTGCGAAGCCACAGAACTTAGCAAAAAGGAAGGGAATGAATGCTCCCTTCCTTTTTGCTAAGCCCCGTGGCTTCACAAAAGGAAGGGAAAAGCAGGGATCAATTTTTCTAATTTGGGATTAGAAAAGGGGAGGTCCTCTTATACATTTGGTTGTCTTATAAACGGTAAAATACAGTACTTACACAGATTCTCTGAAAACAAGCAAATAAGTCAGCCTTACCCAACTTTTCATCCTGTATGCATTTTAACTTTAACCTCCATCATCTCTGGCCATTGGCCATGGCTAATATTAATTGTTGCCCATAACACAGACAACAAATTAGGTACAGCTGAAATAAGCATTGCTAGCATATATTTTATGGTTCAGGTTCAAAACTGGACTCAATATTAGGATGGAAGTGTGCAGGGGTTGGAAAATTATCTTTTAAAAAGTCAGTTACAATTGTAATCCCAAGAAATGAAAAGAAATTATAGTAACTGATAGTTATTTTTAAAGAAGTACATATTTACTTTCCCATTGCAAACAGAAATAAAAATAATTACATTTCATTACTTTTTTAAAAAAAGTCTGAATGCTAAGAGCCAGTGGCCTCTCCTCCCATGCATCTTATAATCACTTCAATATCCATGCCAAGCCTTCAAAAAGCAGCACAGGGCACTATACAAGTCAGCACTTAAGCAGCACAGGGCACTATACAAGTCAGCACTTGAACAACGTGATATTTTAATTCAAAATCAATTAAAGCCATTCCTTGTAATTATAGAAGCAACACCATTCACATCACAAAAGAAGTGATGTGATTTTTAACTTACAGTTTACATCAAGTTTAGTTCTAAATCCATTAGTGTAAAAAAGTAACTAATTACAGACAAGTGGGTATTTGTAACTAGTTGTTACGAGCTTTGGAGACTCCTACAAGTTCCTTGAGGAATCTTGGAAAAACTCTTAAGTTGCTACTATTTTACTTCTTCAGTGATTAGTTCACTCTTCTTTTGCTTCATATTTAATTACTATCTTTTTTTTCAGAGACTTAATAGTTTTTGTATAGGAGGGCCCAATTTTTTTGTGAAAATGTCATCTTCAAAAAGACAAATTGAGATAAGCTTACTGACTGAACCAAATGGTCAGGAAATTCAAGATTAAAGTTCATCAGTGTAATCTTGCACTTATATTTAACTGGAAAGTGTGCTTTCTTTAGGATTATCTCTTCTTCCCTCTTTCTGAGCATACGTTTATTTCTTACAACAGAGACTGCACAGAAAAACTCAAGAGTTTACTTGAACTGTCATTTATCCCTTTGGTAACTAATCTGAGAACAGAAACATGAAAATGGATTTCACCATATTTCCCACTAGTTCATACTTTCTGTGTACACAAGAACCAGGCAAAAGAATTAGATGTATACAACTCACGTATCACAAAGTTTCTTCATGCTCTTGCTAAATACTCATTGCTCTACAGCAGTTAGTTCTTAATAAAACACCCACCACAATTTGCCTGGAGATCATATCCACTACTACAGGTAGATACCATGGGCTATTTTTTATTTTAACTTTAGGCTAGTCATCAACATAATACTTTACAACTGCAGTTCAACATACAAACAAAAATAAAGAACACTGCAGAATATATGTAGATAACTAAATAGAGTTAATAATAATTATGCAACGGACTAATTATGGGCCCTGATACATAATGAGTGAACCCAAGAAGGAATAAAACACAGCATCGTGATTCAAAATGATTACAAATTAAGAGGAAATGAACAGAATTAGTAGTATTTTTTAAAATAAGGAACTCCTTAAATCACAGTCCTTCGCCTGCAGATAAAGTCTACAGAAGGGAGAGGAAGCTACTCAACACTTGCTCAGAGTGCATTCTGTCCTGGGATAGAAAGAAGACACCAGGGTTGAGTCTTGGTGATCTCTGGGCCTGAAAATCAACTTTGATGACTACCTTACCTCAAAGAAAATGGATTTCCAACAAGGACAAGCGGTTACTATTCAGATACAGCAGAATATGAAAACGCAGCCCTGTCCATACAAAGCTTCCTGGATCCTACAGCTTTTAGGACACTGCCAGTTCACTCCCATACACGTTTTATTCGGATGCTGGTGGCTTTGCTGCCCGAGACTTGCCCCACATGTGAAGGTGCACAGTACCCCAATTCAGGCGCGCTATTTTAATATCGGTGGCACCCAGTCCGACCACCACCTCTCCCGGTCTCTGGCAACCAACCAATCCATCATGGTGCCCTTTCAGGAGACTCTAAGCCCGGCTGCCTGAGCAACCACCTCGCCCTGCTTAACGGAGGGGGCGGCGGTCTGTTTCTGCCCCGACGACTCGCCGGGGATCCTGGAACTTCTTTCCGACGCGAGGCTGCAATCCAGCGCCGCCGGGGCTGCCCTATTCTCCAAGCAGCAATTGCTGCACGCCTGCTTCACCGCCGGAGCCATGTGCTGCCGCTTCTAAGTGAACGGGCCGCTCTCAGTCTTAATCCTGCTCCCCCCCCAGAAGTTCTCCCCCGGCCTGCGCGAGATCCTAAAGACACACAACAACATGCAGAGCAAAGACTCTTGTGGTCGTACCTTCAGGGCTTCACCGCACGCTTCGCGTCGCCCAGCGCTTTCCGCACATTTACGGCCCGGGGTCGTTTTCCCTTCCTGACGTGTCAGCCCAGAGAGTCCCGGTAACAGGCG